GCAGCCGTCTGTGTTTTATCTGCTCTATTTATTTGTAGTTCTCCCCTGTAACAACCTCTGACTCATTCAGGAACCCTGTCATCTCCAGCATTTTACTGACTTGCTTTTTTAACCCAAAGGCAACGGTATTAACGCAGGGGAAAGACGATATTTTTAATTTATAAAGCATCAAGTAGAGTTTACACTGGGGTGACTCCTGAAGGTGGGATTTATTCACAGATCCTGCTGTCACATTTGCTTTCGGAGAAAAGAAATCCTCTTTGCTCTGGCTGGATTCCACACAGCTTTGTATTTATGCAGAACACAGCTGCAAAAACCAAACCGCAAAGTTGTGACGGAAAACATGACTGATGATTCTCAGTTCCTGCCATGAAGTTTGCTGGTTGCACCTCTGTTAAGATCCCCACTGCTCCTCCTCCTCCTCGGGTCATTATTGTTAGGTTCACTTTAATGTGCCTGTATATGTGCATGTTAATGGAGGATTACTTCAAGTCCTTGTTCCAGCCGCGGATCATTCAGAGTTCACTCAAGGTTTCCTCCAGCTGTGTTAGCACACGCTACAATAAGTCAGAGTATTTGACTGAAACTGCACTCACTGGTTTGGAACCGATGTTTTGTTTCTGTGCTAGTTTCACAATTCGGTCTCAAACAAATACCCTTATCAAAATAACATATATTTATTTGAATATTTAGGACATTACTCACTGTCCCAGAACCACATTATGAAGCTTGACAGTCTTATCTTTATTACAGTTGCCACATCCAGAATCATCCAGACTTAGACTGAGGGAGAAAGGAAAGTCAGATGTTCCTCTGGTTATATTTCTGACACCAAAAAATGTGGTTGTTGAAATGGCCTCAATCTGACATGGAAAACAAGATTGAGCTCAATTTTAGGAGTTTTGGCTGCTGCACCAGTATTGACCAGCAGGTGATTGACTCTCAAACATGATGGTGCTCATCACCATGAAATTAAAAATCAGCTATTTAAATCAGTAAAATATAAATAGTTAGTGCTAGAAAGTGACCAGGCTGATTTAAATAGCAATTGTCATTGATGACATGGAGGAAAAATATCAAATTTAATGAAACATTTGAGCTACAGATTTTTGATTGAATAATCATGTAAAGTAGTGCCACACCTGTTTTGTGAAACATTGATGAGACGCCATTAATCAAACCACGCTTGGAGTGAATTACATCTTTTTGTACAGTCAATTTACTTCCTACCCCAACATCAGAACCAGAACAGCTGTTCATCATATTGACAGTAATAAAGAGTAACAGATGGACATTTTTGTCCATAATTTGTGATCAGAGTCTTTTATGAATTAATAATACAAGCCTTGCTATATTGCAATAAAATGTATCCTGGTGTCTTGCCTTGCTGCACTCCTAAATGGTAGTGTTCATCACATTTTCTGGCTTTGGCCACTGTAGTACACTGTACTTGTCATGACATCATGAGCAGTACTGGCCTAGTTGGAATCAATACAGGGAGTTCTGTTCCTACAATGTGGCGCAACTTGATTTTCACTGTGAGTCGGAACTCACACACTGGTTACCTGTGTTACTCACCTACACTAACACAGTGGTGACATCACAATCTAAGACATAAAAAATCAGAAGAGCCTGGGAGCTAGCTGCATGAGTTTACAAGAGGATGTCGTAAACCAAGAAAGCTGTATAAAGTTGAGACCTAGTTATACCCTGCTGGTCAGTAGTGGTACTGCATGTATTATGGCTTCATGCACTAAATAAAACATGAGAAGCAAGTTCATCTTTTGCAGTTCTAAGATCACACGTTCCACACCAACAGTGCAGTAACGTAAAGCATTTTCCAGATGTTGGCCCTCGTTAGCCTAAAACCACAGTGTGGCACCGCAGGGATTTTGCCCAAGCAGCAATGAGCAACATATTATTCATAATTAATTGGTCCTCTGGGAACAGTGGTTTTAACGTGGGTGCTCTAACAGGACTACTTATTTAAAATAGATGGGAAACACATAATACCCAATGCATATTGATTGTTTTATTTATACGGAGTAATGTTTCCATTACACACTGTATCATTAGGCAATGATGTGACACACTGATACACAGCCTGGTAGATGCTGTGAGGTTCCCAGTCCTGCACATATTATCATCACAGGCTGCACTGAAACCACCAGCAGGAAGGATACAGGACCGTGGTCAGTGGCTAATAGCAGGTAATTTGTTGCATTGATTAGAGCTGTCTCAGTGCTGTGCTCAGGTCGAAACTGCACCGGAGTGCGCTATTGATACTCTGTGCACTGAGAAAGTGAGCCACTGACTTATACCTCTCTACTTTCCAGTCTGCCACCAAAATGGAAGATTAGACCGCTGCACAAGTGGACTCAAAGTGAGGCTGAAATGTGGTATGGTATATGTGGAAGGGAAAGTTTCAGAGTTTCGAGAAGATGAATCTATATATAGCCAGGAAGCTGCAACAATGAGGGGTAATTTTTCTAGCTTTATAGCCAATTGATTTTTCTTAAATCCAGCGTGGTGAAGTAAATACCACGGACGCGATGACTCACATACTGGTGTTATTAGAACATTGAGTATATATCTGGGAGAAGAAAAAAAACATTTAACACTTGGACTTTATTTTATGCAGTTTTTAGTCTGTTTTTTTTAATGTAACATTTATTTAACCACTGACATCAGACATCTCTTTTACAGGGGAGACCTGGCCAAAGGAAACAGCCACACAGGATTAAACACTCCATGAAAACACTTACCTGACATTTGAACAATAACTGAAAGTATCTGCTCAAGCAGTGTTTTACATAATGTGACATTTACAGGTTTTGTTGGAGATTATTCTGTGACCAACTTGCAACTTTATTTTTCTATTGAACTGAATGTGTTAATATTTATGATGTGAAGTAAATGACAACAGACAGAAAAAAACCCCAAATCACTCATAAACATGGGTCACATCTTGTAATGATGTAGTGCTAGTTTGTCAAACACCTGGTTCAGGAGCTACTTCTGACCCAAAAACCTAAAAAATCTTAAAATCTGGCCATGACTAGATGTGAAGAATTATTTTGTATTACCCTTCAGGTAATTTTTATAAAAACTTTTTTTAACTTATTGAAATTAATTTAAGAATAAAAAAGACTTTTACTTACTGTTTAAACTGTATTTTTATACAATATTTAATTACAAAATATGATGTCTAGGTGAAAATAAGCAGTGTGGCTGAGTATTTTTTTACCTTTACCAATGTGATTTTCTTGAACTTTCTGTAAATTTTGCAGAGGTCATTGTGACGTGGTGTTTTGTGGAGCGCTTGAGTCGTAAATGAAGACAATCAACACATAAGACAGTGATGGCCAAACGTTTTCTGCAGCGCCCCCTTTTGTTGTTAGTAAAATG